AATGCAAAGGCGTTATAACGCGAATAAAGACGTTTTTACGCGAATCAAAAGGCGTAATAACGCGAATAAAGGCGTTATAACGCGAATCAAAAGGCGAAATAACCCCAACAAGGCATTATAACGTGAATCAAAAGGCGTAATTACGCGAATAAAGGTGTAATAACGCGAATCAAATGGCGAAATAACGCGAATAAAGGCGTTATAGCGCGAATCAAAATGCGTAATAACGCCTTTATTCGCGTTATTATGCGAAACAAAAGGCGTAATAACGCAAATCAAAAGGTGTAGTAACGCGAAAAAAGGTGAAGTAACGCGAACCAAAAGGCGTACGCAAATTAAAAGCATTAAAATACCAATTTTATACCATATTTATACTAATCAAATGGCCTAGTGACGCGAGAAAGAAAACCCAATATTGATCTGAATTTATTGCTCACGATATATACTCGTATAGAATAATATAATTTATATTTACAAAAACTATCATTAAATTTGCGGAGTAATAATGCAAATTTTTGTCATAAACTAATGAAGACTCTTTATATGTCCATTGGACTGGACGTAAATACAGTTACTCTGAATTCACATGTATCACATCATTGATTTTACACAATCATGTCACTATAGTAAATAAATTTCTTTTCTTTTCTTTTGTTTTCTTTTCTTACCTTATCTTATATCTTATCTTATCCTATGTTATATGTGCGTCATATGTTCAATTATTTTCAGATATATCCTGTATGATTACCTTATAACCTGTAGTATCTTATAATTATGTGAATGTCGTTCCTAATTACGCTATAGGTAATAGGCTATAGGTAACAAGATTTGGAAGAAAGTATAAGTTAGTCACATAAGGGTGAAAGTATATCTTAATTATTGAAACGTATGCCTAAATGATAGTATTTTAGTAAAGTCATAATTATAGGAGACATTGTCTTCTTTGTCTTTTAGAAAAATATCTATAGTTTATCTCTAATCTGACGAAAGCATTTCATGACAAAAGATTTAAAAAAAATCAGACTGTGGCCTTAGGAGGTTTCAGTACATAATTGAAAATAAAACGTACATCGAGATCACTTCATTTAAATCAACATTGTTCTTCCTTCCATACATAAGTAGGCCACTGTTTGGAAATTATATGGTATTAAATTAGCGTTATAACGCCTTTCAATTCGCGTTATAACGCCTTTTAATTAGCGTTATAACGCCTTTATTCGCATTATTACGCCTTTTGGTTCGCGTTATAACGCGATTAAGGCGTAACTACGCCTTTTGATTCGCGTTATAACGCCTTTATTCCCGTTATTACGCCTTTTAATTAGCGTTATAACGCCTTTCAATTCGCGTTTCAAACGCCTTTATTCGCGTTATAACGCGAAACAAGAGGCGTAATAACGCGAATCAAAAAGCGTTATAACGCAATTAAAGGCGTTATAACGCGGATCAAAAGGCCTTATAACGCTAATTTTATATCATATAAATTCCAAACAATGGCCTAGTATAGTAAGAAAGGAAGAACAATGTTGATCTAAATGAATTGATCAAGATGTACGTTTTATTTTCAATTCTGTACGGATACGTCCTTAGACCAAAATCTGAATTTTTAAAATCTTTTATTAGGAAATTTTTTTGTCGGATTAGTGGTTACTATGACCCAACTATAGATACTCTTCTTCAAGGACAGAGAAGACAATGTCTCCTATAATTGTAACTTAACAGAAACACTATCACCCTTTTAAGAATACCTATCAATAATTAAGATATACTTTCACCCTAATGTGTTTTACTTATACCGTACGTTTTTTCCAAATCTTGTTACCTATAGCCTATAACCAATAGCGTAATTGGGAACGACATTCACATAATTAGAAGTTCTAGAAGATACTACAATTTATTAAGTAATTATACAGGACATATCCGTAGATAATTGAACATATGACGCACATATAACATAAGATAAGATATAAGAAAAGAAAAGAAAAGATAAGAAAAGAAATTCATTTACTATAGTGACATGTGTAAATTCAATGATGTGATACATGTGAATTCAGAGTAACTTTATTTAGGTCCAGTCCAATGGACCTATAAGTCACCAAGTCACCTTACATTGGCAAATATTAAAGAGTCTTCATTAGTTTATGACAAATAGTTTGCATTATAACTGTGCAAATGGAATGGTATTTATTGTAAATGTATATTATGTTATTCTATACGAGTTTATATCTTGAGCAATAAATTCATATCAATATTGGTCTTCCTTTCTCGCGTAACTAGGCATTTTGAATGGTGAAAATATGGTATTAAATTGGCATTATAATGCGTTTTAATTTGCTTTATTTCGTCTTTTGGTTCGCGTAAATACGCCTTTATTCGCGTTACTACGCCTTTTGATTTCCGTTATTACGCCTTCATTCGCGTTATTACGCCTTTTGGTTCGCGTTATTATGCCTTTTGATTCGCGTTACTACGCTGACGCCTTTTGATTCGCGTTATAACGCCTTTATTCGCGTTATAACGCTTTAGGTTTGCGTTATAACGCCTTTATTTGCGTTATTACGCCTTTTGATTCGCGTTAAAATGCCTTTATTTGCGTTATTACGCCATTTGATTTGCGTTATAACACCTTAATTCGTGTTATAACGCCATTTTATTCGCGTTATAACGCCTTTATTCGCGTTATTACTCATTCTAATTCGCGTAATAACGCCTTTATTCGCGTTATAACGCCTTTGCATTTTAATTTTTTATTTTATTTGACACTATTTGGCTTTCGTAGAAGTGTCTTGTCAATGATTGTAGATAAACTTTTCATTAAAGTGAATTTGTGTTAAGTTTGTGTCCAGTCAACAATCCTAACAATCTCAGATGGTTTGTAAAATGTACTGTATTAATTATGAAAACTTGAAATACGCAAGATTAATGTCTTCAGCTGGAAAGACAAGTTCAAAGATAGTATATGATTGTGGTATTTGTTTTATAGAGAATAACATGCTACTGTCTTTTGATATAAATTTTTCAGGCGAGGGTGATATGGTCTGGAAAGGGCGTTGCTTGCCGAGCCCTTTCTGTCCATATCAGCCGAGCCTTATAAAATTGATATCAAAAGACAGTAGCATGTTTTTCTATTTATCATGTAACACATAAAAACTGTCAAAATAACAAAAAAAATCTTCTTTTAAACAGCAAATTTCGTAAAAAAGGGGATTTTTGTTCAAAGAAATAATTCTTGACAACAAATTCCTCCGCCCCTGAAACTTAGTATTTGTAAATGGCGGCCATTTTTTTCTTTCGATTCGGATAAAAGATACAGCAAAATGTAGGCCTAGCACGATAAAATTCTTACCTTTATTTTAAACATCGATCCAAAAATCCCTTCAAGACTTGTAAGGGTATGAGATTACGTTGTTGAATTCACATGCTGATGAAAATGAGAATACATGTATAAGCAATTGAAAAAGTCCGTTAAAAATGGGCGGGGCTTATTTTTGATATCAGGGTACTGGCCTGATATCAAAAATAATTATCAGGCAAAACGTTATCGAGCAGTTACCATAGCAGTTGCATGATAAAATGTTTTATTCATGTGTTGATTTCGAATATATAATATTATATATATATGAGTGTTGTGATGCGTGGTATTAAATGTTTTAAAATAACCGACCGTTACTGCATGCATTTTGTATATCATAGCTAGTTATTATTATAGCTGCAAGGTTTATTGTTTCTATTAGACATGCGTTGCTATTTATGAACGTATGCACGAGCACATGAACTAAATATTCATTTAATAAGTATCAATTACTCCCTTAAATTGAAATTTTAAAATTAAACCAATTTGTTGATGAACATCTGTTAAGTTATATACTTGCCTAAAAATATTTGAACTATTGTTGATATTATTTTTCGTTTGTTTAAATGTTTTTGTTACGTTCTATTTTCTATTTTTATAGTTTTTATTGTTATACATATAGTTCGTAAAGTAAAGCTTGATTTATTAATTTTGAGTGAGACGAAAAAAGAGATTGAGCGCAACACTACTTACCTTACTCCGGTATATTACAAACAAGGCGGTTTAATGAGTAACTGCTAAAATCTCGCATTTTCAACTGCCGATATTCACTTACAATGTCTCATTCATCTGTTCACAGCGATAAATAAACAATGTAAAAATCAGTAAAAAGGGGATACTTTTCTACTTTGTGATCATGATGTGAGATACTGCTCTGTAAAATCAATAGATTTTATTACAAATTTTAGTTTTTACTTAGCCTGGGTTCCAGTCTGTCGATTTTTTATGTGCTTCTATTCGGCAAATCGACACTATCAAAACCAGAGATGCTGTGCGTTATCTATAACGATCGAGTATGAAATAGCGTGTATGTTATAAATAAGCAAAAAAATATCAACGCCTGAATCCCAGGCTAGTTTTTACTGTACGTGGATATACAAATACGTTATGAACAAACTCTAGCTGTTATCATTGGCAGTAACTTTGATTATCATATGTATTAACCTTAACATTGTTAATGGCCATACCCATGTTGCCAGTCATGGGCTGACCAGTGTTCCGTACTTTTTATTCTAAAAATGCCATATACTGTTATCCCTAGAACTTTTGAAACTTGAAATGGGATTTTACAAATTCAGTGCAGTTCAGGTCCATAATACGTATATGATTTCAATTGTGTATAGTAATTCATATGTGAATGGCTACTACAATAGTCTATAGTTATTCTATAATTTCCCTTTTGTATTAATCAGTTAGGTTTTACACAAAATTATAATATTTAACTGAAAAGAAAAAAGGTATCATTATTTCCTTTTAAAGTCATACAAGCGTACGTACGAGTACTTCTATTGATTTGTCAACCACCGCTTTATTTCCATTTATTTAGTTTCAATTAATAATTAAACGCTAACTTTAAAATATAAGAATTAACAGCAAACTGTACAAAGGCGCAAAAGCCGTGATAGTGTTCAGCAAGAACCGTTAACCATATATTTGAAAATGAAATTGTTTCTATTTTTCATCTGTTTTGATGTTTTCAATTTTGCATATAGTTCAATTGATATTGACGTGAACGGGTTTTCATTTACTTACACGCTCTCTAAGACAACAAAGTGTATAGAAGGGGACTCTCGATTTGCCTTTTACAATGGTATTTCTATTGAAAAGTGTGTTCTTGAATGTGGATTACGACCTCATTGTGAAACATTGAATTATGTCAACACTAACGGTATATGTGAACTTTTCTCGCTCGATTCAAGTTTGAATGGTTTAAGAAATGGTGCATGTTTGCGAGTGAAAAAATCGGACATCATGTATCACAAGGTATGAATTATTTCTACTTGTACATGTATGCACGCAACACACTCGAAAGATCATGCACGACCGGAGCTATAAAATCACGCACATGCATAAGCTAAGGTATACAAAAACACATGAATATTTGGAGAAATACAGCCACACACGCGCGCACGTACAGCAAAACAAGCACGGGCGAAGCTAAACAGTCACTTATTCAATGAAATGATCAGAAAAAGTCAATATGAAATAGAGAACTTTACTGAAAACTATGCTACTAATATATGTTTAGAGGTTGTAACTCCAAACAAAATTACGTACTAATATTGACAAAACTAATTTGGATATTTTGCATGTCAAAAATTTAGATGTTCTGTACTTTGAACGTTGCAAAGTTTGATTTTTACATTACTGATAAACGACAAAGAAATAATTGCCCGATCTCACCGTTATAACTTCTTTGCAAAAAAAACAATGATTCATCACAAAAATTAAATGAATTCACGATATTTGATCAAAATAAGACACCTGTTTATTGTTCATATATTAAGGAATATAAACTTAATGAGATAATGTGAGATGCATGGTCCGATACTATATACATTGTATAGCAGATAATAAAGTGTTCTAGAACAAAATATGATTGTTCATCATAATTCTAAGATTTTTAACTAAATCACTTAAAACTTTATAAACATTCTTTTTCAAGAAATACTTTTAGGAATATCCAAATAATACATTTCTACTGTTTCATCGATATTTGAAATACTTATTGGAAACGTACCCATTACAAACCAATCTCTTTAACGTTGTAATGTAGCAGCATATTTTGTTACTAAGCCCTAGCTGCGGAAGTTTTTTGTTGGAAATCAGCTTTGACGTTTCGCCGGTTAAATAGAAGGGGAGGATAAAGCCTAACACAAAGAGAGATACGTTTAAAGGGGATCTTATAATCTGATTGATCCCGCTGGTGAAAATTTAATCAGGGACTTTGCTGTTATCTATGGGTAGGGACTGCGGTTTCCAATGCAAAGCGTATATCAAATGTCATTTGGATCCTAAAGGCGTTTTAAACTGACATATGTTTGTTATATTTTTTCGAAAAGATTGTTTTGGGGTACAATTTTCATGTTGCAAATTTTCTAAAAGTTTTAAGATGTTATGGATTTTGTGAATTAAAATCGCAAAAACATGATAATTGTTAAATTTTCATAAAAATGAACTTGAAGCGTCCATTGTTGTCATACTGAACTTAATTCATGCCAGAAGAACCGCTTAGATTATTATTACTTTAAAGGTGACTTGATGAAATAAATCTAAAATTTGTCTTAACTTTGATGTGCTGTCCAATATTTTCATTCAAAAATTCAATACATGAATGTTGGCATAATTGCTAAGTGCATTCAATAAACACCATCGTGTTTAAAAATTTGTCTGCAGATTTTTTATGACAAATATTATAAAGTCGTGTGCATTTTTTATCATTTTTAATTTCTAATTACATTTAATGTTTTCTTTGTTCGCGCATTGGCAGGTCTATTTTTCATTTAAGTATCTTTTATCTTTAATCTGTAAGAGCTCTTGGGTATGCAATATCCATATATGTGTTATACCAATTGCAAACCTGATAATATTTTATTGATGTGCAAGATATCTAGAAAAAATGTTATGACTTATTTAGTCCTTAATTTGCAGGACTTGAAAGTACTAAGCGAAATGCAATACCGGCTTGGAAATGAGTTTTGAAAGTAAAAGCAGAATAACTTCGGCAAAATATCTTTTTAAGGAAACTTTTTGTTTAACGTCGCATCTATCTGGAACTACAGAGTCCGTGCATAAGAAAAATAGGTCAAAATTGGAGGCGGTGACCCCATTTGTTTTTATATCAGCTTGAAGGAAAAAATAATTTCCGTCGAATACTGTAGAATTTATGATATTTTGCCCGCCTGTGGCGTTGTAATACCCCTAACAGTTGCCAAGTATACGTAACGACGTCCAGTTCCAAAACGGGCTTTGGTGATTAATTTTGACGTCATATGTAAACAAAATTGCTAGCACTATTGGAATAAAATCAACGAAATCAAATCTGAAATATGGTGAACTTCTCACATGCCAATTTATAAGACGCTACTCGATAGTTCTATAAGTGTCGCGTTCTACCTTAAATCGTTTATTAATTTTTAGCGTCTTATAATTGCAAAATGCACATAATAAAATATGTAAGGAACCTTCTCGTGGTGATGAATATGTATGCGATGATAACAATAATCATATGTTAATGATAAGTTTCATAATAATAATTGAAGTCAGGAAATTATAATCCGATGATGATGATGATGATGATGATGACGACGACGGGTTTCATGATGACTGACTTGATGGTGAGTTTAATGATGATGTTGATGGCGATTGGGGTTATGATGATGATAAAGAGGAGGAGGGGGATGAGGAGGAGGAGGATTATGATGATGATGTTGATGATTATGATGATGAGGATGAGGATGATGACAATTATGCAAGTTAACATTTCCATGGCATGTACGTTGAATACCCTTTACCAACATTATGGCGGGAAGCATTATTCTAGTTGAAGCGAGGTATGGCACTTGAAATTGTTGCATGTTGTTCACAAATATTCCCGGGAGCTTTATTCGTTTGTTCTTCTTCTCGGACATCTTTATGTGACTTAGCGCAATGCATACAGCTCTCAAGAGAGAGATATCCGTCGAGAGCTATATGCGACAAAGTACAGCTTTAATATAAGTAATTTTCAATTTTGAAACTAATTTAAGATACAAATCATTCAACCGGAGACAGGGAACTATTATTTATTGATACAATTTGCGCATATCAGTTTATCCTATATAAATAATTCAACTCTGTTGGCAATGCTTAAATAAACAGGAATTTACAACACGCGATGCACGAAATTTTGTATAAGGCACACGTGTAATTAATTTAACTGAAGGATTCATAGACAAAATGAAAATGTTTTCATATTTCATTTGTTTTTATATTTTCAATTTTGCATATAGTTTTACTGACATTTTAGTGAACGGGATTTCATTCAGTTATACGCTCTCTGGGACAACAAAGTGTAAAGATTGGGTCACTCGTTTTGGCTTTTACAATGGCATTTCCATTAACGATTGTGTCCTTGAATGTGGATTACGGTCCCATTGTAAAACATTGAATTATGTTAATACTTTAGGTATTTGTGAACTTTTCTCACTAGATTCAAGTTTGAAGGATTTTAGAAACGGCACGTGTATGCGAGTGAAAAAATCGGACATCATTTATCAGACGGTATGTCTTTGCTCGACTTTAAACACAAATACACATGCAACAAGATACAAGATACAAAGTCACACATGCACGCGCGTAAAAACACTGCCTAAAGCATACGCCTTAAGGTGCAGAGCCAAACATACACTCGTGCACGTACAAAGCTATACAGTCACGCGCTCTTTTTTTTTCATTTCGAACACTAAGCTATTTGTTTTCTTTTTGTTTAATTGTTATTTTTTTTATGTTTTTTGTGAATATTTCAACTAAGGGCTCTGACAAAAAGCTTCAATATTTATTTGGACTATCCGAGGTAGGATCGGTCCCAGCTTAGAGGTAGCTTTCACGGTCTGTTACACTTTCATGGATTTTAACAGAATTATGGTCGTTTCTCAACTTTCTTGGTTAAAGTCTTAAGATCATCATAAATCTTTACAACTTTTCAGGGTATTCACCTAAAACTAATGCATTAATTTGCGTTATAATTGGAGGACACATTCATAACTCTGACATGGATGTTAACTGGATAATGACAGTATGTGAAATAAAAATTTCGGGGGGGGGGGGGATTTGCATTGCAACATCAATCGTACATGATCTTATCACGTTTCCTGTCTCCACTGAGTATTTGTGATTTGAACAAACAGTTAAATAATTTAATTGAGGCCAAAGTATTAGAAAGATCTCAATACAAATGATATTTGATTGTTTTGTCTAAAGTGTTTTTTTCTAAACGTCTGTCATTATTCCATTATTTTTTAATTTAGAAACCGTGTGGTGAATGTAATAGAGGCCAAGTTTGCGATTTATCCACGAACAGATGCCGACAAAGTGGTAAAGAACTTTTAGAAGTATTTAATTAAAACTGATTTGTTCTTGATATAATTTGATCTTTTTTTAATTAAAAAGCACGTTGGAAAGCGACGCATTGAAAAACTTGGAACTGCTTTGTTTGAAAAGAAATACAATAAAGTTTCCTTCCATTATAGCTAAAAAATCAAACTCAGATATTTTAAATAAAACCAAAAACGATGTATGTTATCAAAAAGAAAATGCTGTTTTGTCATTATTAACCACAGAATGTGTTAATGATACTCAACCTGCCAATGGAAAAGTGTTAGGCAATCTTAGAGGAATAGGTGACGTCATACGGTACAAATGTGACGTAGGATACACAGAGAAAAACGGGAAAACGGTTGTCGCCAAGTGTCTTGAAAATGGAAAATGGAATGCTACTGTGCAGTGCTTAAAGGGTAAGAACATTGTATAGTTACGTAATTTTGATGTGGAATGTTAAGAGAATAGTTTATACTTTAAATATCTGCCACTGGAATTCATATCATATTTAACAATATGATCGGAAGCTTTGTCCAGTCGAAGATTGCCTTAAATTTCTTTATGTAAGCTATCATTAAAAACGCTTCGCCATTTTGCGCTAATAAGATAGCGGGTATTCAATTACTAGCCAGTCTTGTGCTTGAGTGACTTGATTTAATGACGTATTATTCTTAAATACGGAACTTGCCGGTAAAGATTTTATTCCCGCCTTTCCTATTCCCTGATAGGTCAATCAATTTGCTAATAGAAACACTATTGTAAACATAACAATGAGTTATTTTGTGTAAACCGGATCAACAAGTGTAGAGCTACCACCCTTCAAGTGTAGCAATTTAAATGTCAGTCAGCCAAATTGCATACAGATTTAAACACTTATAAGGTCCATAGGAAGACTGAGCGCCTTTCAGTTACGTCCACAAATTTCAAACACAAATTGCTTAACAAAAAGTGATGATAACCTTGAAATTACCCAAAATCTAATTTTTTCATGTTAGCAAGTGGCCTTTCACCTGATTTTGGTGAAAAATTGTTGTTTCGAGGCATTTTTTATTTTTTTATTAATCCTTTACTTCATGAGCATCTTGTAAAAAATGGCCGTTTTAATTGAAAAGCCTCCTGTTACAAGTTCAACCTGCTATGAAACTATGAATTGGCACAAATGTTGACTGGACCATAGCCTTTGTAACAGCATGCTTAGTCTTAAATTTCCTATTACCATGGCAATCGGAGGACGACTCAAAATTGCCAAAAATCACTATTTTGCATTGTTTATTTCCATCAAAACTGATTTCAAATTGCTGCAACTTCCCAATGGATTGAGATAGAGTGAAAGCCTTTTCAGCATTGCTTAAACATTACCTTACTTAAAAACCCCGAAACAGAAGGGGCACTTCCCCTTTCTTGCAACCCCTTGATGTACGTTTTTGATAGGGTCGACGTCGAAAAAGTGATCACTATTCTAATCAACATTTCTCAAACGAAAAACAGTGTTTGGGGCATAATAGGGCATTTTTTCACTGTTTGAGGCCTCAAAATGGTGGGGTCGAAAAGCCGTCAAAACACGTCTACATGTATATTAGATAAAGGGTATAATCAAAAGATGAAATGATAAGTCTTTGCTATTCTTTTCACGTTAAATGAAGGGGACTAATTTTGAAAATTATGACTTTGTATTTCACGTAAACTGTCTTCAGCATCGTTTATTCAACCATCAATTTAACGTCTATCCAAATAAACACCAGTTTATACAAAACGTTGTTCTAGTGGAGGGAGTCTTAGGGTGCGAAAAATTGATTATAGCGGGAGACAAGGTAAAATCATACACCCTTCATAAGTAAAAAAGAAACGAAGAAACATCCGAAGTCAATTAACACCGTAAACTACTCTTCTACGTTTTGTAATTTATAATTCATAACTTCTAAATCTTTTAAAAGGCTTTCACTTAAAAATATGGTACATTTTCAGATGATGAATTATTCAAAATGTTTCAACAGACCTTTCTATTGAATGTTTTTTTTTCACATAGCTGTAATGGTAATCCACAAGGGTATTTTCTTTTAAAGGCACCTTAATTATAATAAATGTGTACATCTTTAGAAAAGGGTAAACATGAATTGTATAATGTTTAAATGATAGTTTTAGCGAATGATAGATGTATGTTACCTGATGAAAGTAACGATAAATGCTAAATTATTTGTCATAAAAGTAGAAAAATATAAACAAAATAGTAATTTGTCTCCCATACAAATTACTTATTCACTTTAACTAAATTTATTGCTAAATAGCCACAGATGAAAAGGATTGATCAGGAAATTGGCCAATTAGTAACCTTTTTAAATACTAGAAAGTACAATAAAATCAAAAAGCTTTAGAGAAAAAAAGTATTTCTGAGACATATTGGGTCTTTGATATTTTTGTCAAAGATAGATCCCTTTCAATTCTTTCACTTTAATTTTCGTACGTTTATGGAAAGAATCGCAGAAAAAGAAAGATCTCATTTTTATTTTCTGTTAAGTGCCTTATTGTAAATGGGAAACATTTTACAATATATTTCTTGTAAACTGTTTAAACATTCTTTCTTAATCCTGGGCATAGCAAATATGAATGCACTTACATGTTATAAGTTAACAATCTTATTTATAATGGATACACTTAAAACTGATGACAATCACAATTTTCTCACATCAATTTCACAAACTAGTATATTCGAATCTCTAAAAGCATGTCAAAATGCGAAAACTGTATCTATGAAGTTTAATTCCTTATTATTAAGTGTAACGATTTTTCACTGTTCAGTATGTGATGAGCCTTTCATCAGAAACGCCGCTATATCCAGTGGTGGAACTATTGAAGGATCAGTCAGAACTGTGACGTGTAACGGCAAGACAGCGATTGATGTCAACACTGTGACGTCAGACATTGAGTGTATCAAGGATGGATCCTGGAATCCGGATATCACATGTACCAAGTTTAACAGTAAGTTCAATTTTAGGGTGTTCAATGTAGACGAAAGAGAAATTATATGATGTCTCTTTTGTGTTGTGAATACTGCATGTTTTGTTGGAAATTTTACAGTTCAAATTACGTTTAGTTGTTCAGAATAAAATATGAACGTTAAGTGATGGTTAAAGTTTATAAGTGCGTATTTACAAAATGAAAGTGGTTAAGAGCGGCGCAGCCATACGTACTTATTAATTCTAACCAGATTACAGTGTTAAATCATTTTTATAAACAGTCGATTTACTATGATGTTCTGTTCTTTGTTGAACATTTGAAGTTATGACTGTTTTGTCAAAAGTGATGTCTATTTTGTTCGAGGTTTAATATTTTATGTCTGGTTGGTCGAATGTTTAATTTTTTGGTTTTAAGGGATGTTTATTTTAATCAAACTCTTATACCTCAAAGCATCTCTCTTTAGTCAAGATTTGTAAGTGTTAGGGGTGCCTGATTGTCCGCAGTTACACTGTTTAATATCTTAAATCATATATGTTGGTCGTACCGCTGCAATACTGTTTAATACATGTAAGGACGATTTTGTTCCGGTTGCATAACTGTGTTCAACGTTTATTTATTTTTATTTTCTTTGTGATGTAACATCTTATTTGAATGCTTTTTTTTTAGTTCTAAATTTAAAACTGTGTTTATTTGCGAAATATTGGTCATTGACATTGTGGTTTTTAGGTGTAATATTTAAGGTTGTAGCTGGTAATGGAAAAAGCGCATTAAATGCCTGGAGAGACGGTACTGAATCCACAAGTGAGAAGTCATGCAGGGACATTTCCAAATTGAATTGCACCAACCATTATAGAGATCCAAGAATTGATGAATGGGATACTTTAAATGTTACAAAGGTAAAGTCGCTGTGAAAGCAAGCAATTGAACCTGTCTTATTTTTATCATACATTTTCAGTCATTTAAGGAAACATTCTTATTGTGTTAAGTTCGCTTACAAATACATATTTTGACCGCATAGTTAAAAAATTCAAAGTAAATGTGTCACAAATACAACACTTTAAATGCCTTAAAATATGAAAAACAAGATCAACAAGGAAAGGCGGCGTTCAATGAACGCAACCCCCCCCCCCCATGACCCAGCAACAAGAACCAATGGCAAGGAGCCCAGGCGGACCCCAAACAAAAAAAGGACAGGGCAACGACACGTTAATCATTAAATGATAAATAATTTGTAACTGATTAGGAATTCAAAGAAAATAATAATAGGCCCACAAAGGGGAAGGGGACAGGAGACCGGGGGAAGGGGGGGGGGTTAATCAAAGAAATAAAAACTAGAGGCAATGGGGAAGATACTTACCGTAGACGAGAAAACAACAAGGGACACAAGCAAAAGTGTCACCAAAACAGTATGAAACAACATAGACATACATCTGAGAAACACAGTGGGGCGCCGCCTTGGAACGGTCAGCAGCATAATAATGACTGCTGGGGAGTTTAAACCGGTTAATGGTGTTAATTAAGATTGTATAATGAACCTTTTATTAAATTTGTATTTGTATACTGTTTTATTCCTCTTTTATAAAAAAAATACCGTGATTCCTGTCATTCTATTGTTTTCTATTACATCACATCGTCATGCTCAATGTCATAATATCAGTTGTTGAACACTTCCGTCTTTTTTATTTTCAAAAGAAATGAGCAAGCTCTTAAACAGTTATCAAACTATTATTTTCACAAAAAAAAACTTTCTAAGTCTGTGCATGTTATTTTCTTTCGTGTCATGCAGACTCATCTCCTTGTTTGCAACCGGTTTACAGTTAGTCCAGCATGGCATGTTTTATAATAAGAATCTTACACCTGCTGCCGGTACAGACCAGAATATCTAGATTGAGAGTGACTGTTTACGGCTGTAACCAGGCTTGCCGAGTTTCCGCCGTAAACAGTCACCCGAGAGCTAAATATTACATCTGCATCAACAGCCGGTGTATGATTCTTTTTCTTGCATATTACATATCAATTATTTTCAGAACAGAAATTACGAAAACTGATATTCTCATAACGCACTTTTTCTAATAGTAGCGTATGAACTTACAACTTCATTCATAACGGTTAAGTGACGTCATCCTAAGAACGTAATTCATTCATAAAAGGCGCGCAGCAATGACGTCATTTAAAGCACGCGACTTGTCTTACATGGGGGTGTAAGACAGGGTTTTCCAGCACCGGTGTAAACGGTAGGTAATCCTGTCTGATATGCAAGAATGTAAATTCAAAAACTTTTCACGACCTCATTTTATTTTAAATTCAAAAAATTTTCACGACTGATTTAGAATTTTGTTCAATTGCAATGTGTTGATATCTGAGGTCCTGTTCTAATAAATAGCAGTTCATATCTCAAAGATGAAAAAAACAATATAAAACTGTTTGAACAGAATTGAAAAATAATTAAATCTATTTAATTTAAGGTTAGATATTCCGTTTATAAAAACGCCACTGAAGTTGCTTGGGTAGACTTTAACGGAACCGGAAGCAGTAAAATGGATTGGTTCCAGAAAGAACGTGTAATTGATTCAAGCTATACTGATTTGAACCCATCGTCAAGAACAAATCATTTTGGAATTGCTACTGATGTTTTGTGAGTATTTTGGAAAAACACTTTTTGTGTTTGTAATTTGTTGCTTGGCTTTCTCTTTTGTATATTACATAAGAGCACGGAGGTAAACTTAGTATGTCATTTAATTTTTGTTGCTCATGGTTTAGCATATATCTCTTTAAATCTTAAAATTTATGGAATGTTACAAATTTTGCCAAATTAAGAATAAATATTTATGTATATATTAATCAATGTTGTATGTCACGACCTAGGCAAGACCTCAAAGCTAGATCTACTTGGCATACTTTACAGAAATGTGAATATACCTGAAATTGAGAACGTGAACTCACTCAGAATCCTTTTTCGGGAAAATATCTCATTTCATGAAATGAGACATGCTTGTGACTCCACATCTATTTCATTTCGTTATAATATGGTACAAAATATAATCATGTTAGTAAATATTGTTTCTGAATATCTGAATCAGTTACATTTTATTCCTATGTGTGAATTGAATTCCCGTTGTGCAATTTATCTTTCGATGAGAACCGTGTTCTTAATATACTGGTCTCCGAGCAAAATCTTTATAAACCGTCACTTTTGACCAGCAGACTGACATAACCAGAAAGCAGATCTAGACTAGTGTACGATTTTTTAGTATATAGTGATATATATTCTGGTCTTACTTACTTGTGTTTTGTTAGATTGATATATTACACATTCACGGTCGAACATTATGCTTGGTATATGATAGAATTTTGTGCCTTTTCTTCGCGTTTGTTTTATAAAATACTAGTGAACGAAAATAAATGTGACTGTCAAGAACTAATTTTTCTAGCAGAACAAGGTTTAGTAAAGAATTGTATAAAACAGGTGAAAATGTGCTGACGTATGCTATTGCATGCTCACATAATCATATACCCACTTATTTGTAAAGTCTATTATTATTTGAAATTATTCTGCCTTCAGAAAAAGACACTTCTATGCCAGTGCTGTATTTAACGGTTGTGAAGGAGACAAACTTTGGTTTTGCACTGTTGACGGAGAACCAGGTTGCTGGTATGAGCAAGGAGCAATACCAATTATTATTTATTCAACTCTCAAGAGAATGGGCACCTCAACATTAGGTATATTAAATAACAACGTTTACTTGAATTTGTTATCAATGGAGAACAGCTTGAAATTAATCTGTCAGCATTAATCATGTGTGACAACTTATGCATCAAGTTTTGTTAACTACGTGTTTAAACATCGAAGAGCGTAAAATTGTATTCTTCATAGGTTTTAATGATTTTTGTCACCTTCAGCAGAAAAAAAAGTGTCAGCCTCCAGATCCAATCTTTGCTTCAATTAGTGCTTTAGAAGGTTTTGCACTATGACGCGTTGTCTGACATTGGCCAAACAGTTTGCGGGTCTTTTATTTTCGAAAGTATTTGTTTAGTTTTCGAAGAGCTTGTTAAATTTCGCATTAACAGATTTGCCTTCTGGAACAGCAACTTGAATGGCCGGAACATGAGTTGTAAAGAAAATAGTATAATTGCTTTCTTTATACTGAGGGACATTTTTGCAATGTATGGTATTTTGTCAGACTGGGAAGCCCAAATCTTGTTTTGGTCAGGTGTTTGTTTTGGCTTATGAAAATGAACCCATGTTTCGGTACCAGTGACTATATTTACAAACGACAGTGCATTGTAATTAGGATACTATTTATGCAACATCTTAAAGCATTGCACGCTAGTCATTTTCTGCTCATCTGTCAGCCAATGGGTACTTCATTGACAAGATGGAAAATCGATAAACAACAAGAAGGCACATGAATTTTATTATCTATTTATTATCTTACACAAATACTTTATAATGCAAAAGAGGAATAGTTGCATTTAACGTATAGATTATTCACTATAAGGTCAATATTTTCACTTTTTTTTGATACAGATGTATGAACCGTTGCCTAATTTATGACAGTTTTCATTTTTCACTGAAAGTCCGCATCGTAGCTAAATGTCTGCCCCGTTGTCGAGACAAAACAGAAAGTAGACAGATTTCGACACGACAAATCCACAGAAAAAAAAATGTCGAAATTGCATAGATGATTTTTTTTGCATGTCCTGTAATAAACAAGTGTATTCACTTTAATTTAAAGTGCATGTTGTATGAAGATTGGCTAAAATTTTATCATTTCTCTCGGTTCGAATTTCATGTGTATTTATGCACCAACATATTTATTAAATAATATATATAAATCATATGTTTCAGTCATTGTGAACATATTGATGTTACAGCGAATTTTTTTATGTCTTATTATTCATGTATGGATTGAAGAACCGTAACACGGAACATCTATACCCTTTCACGTACCCGATAGTCTCATATGTTTCGCTCACTTAACACTACTCGTATAACGCAAATGACGGATGTGCAAAACCGTTATTATCAAGCCAGATTAGTGGCATGGTTATGTGATAATGTAGGAGCTATTAAAAACGTGTTGTGTCACAAAGCAATGAAAGTTTTAACATTCACTTGAGCGAAAATAATATTGATGAAAACAACCAAAAGAAAATTATTACGTCTTTGATGAATAAATTGCTTTAAAAGTTTTATCCAGCTGTTCCGCTGGGATAAAAATATTTAAATCATCGACTTATAGATACAATGTATACATGAATAATCGAATCGTCTTTTTTTAAAAGGGTAAAACTTTTTGTTTGCAAAACTTACTGATATTTTAAAGAATCAAATCAACAAGTCATCAGTCTATATTCATCCGTTCGCCTATCAAAACCAAATCCTCTTTTATCATTTCAGGAGATGTCAAAGAACTGGATTTTGCTGACGCCGCTACAGTGACGATAAATGACTGAAATTGTTGACCAACTTCTGTTTAGCTCACGAAGCAGGTGACCTTTTGTGATGGGAATATGTCCGATGTTCGTCATTTTTCGTTATCCACAATTTCTTTAAACAACATCTCTTCCTTAACTACTAGGTTGATATTGATAAAACATAACATGCATCTTTACATTACCCTCTTAAAAGGTTATACCAATAGTTTCAGTTTGATTTCCAGCACAAAGGTCAAGGACTTCTACTTACAAAGTCATTATATGTTGTTTGTTTGTTTGTTTTTTGAAAGACGGTCGCGTTCGGTCCATAACTTTGCCATTTTGTCTAGATTGTGAAATAAATTTGCATTAATTTTTAGATATTGAGCTAATCTGTCGTACACTAGACTATGGTTTATAACTCAAAGATATAGTACTAAATTTACTTGATTAAATGGTCATTCGAATGTGATTACTTTTGGCATTTGTCTTTCACTGAGTGCCCTAATTCGCATGAGATAGTAATACTGATTAGTTTTTAAGGGAAATAATTCATCTAAATAAGATGTAAAACCTGACATCATGAATTTCCTTAGGACTTCTTGTCGTGTGTTTGAATTTATAAATAAATAAATATATATAGGAGTGTTGTGACGAGTGGTTTTAAATGTGTTGAGATAACCGAACGTAACAGCATGCATTTTGTATAACATAGCTAGTTATTATTATAGCTGCAAGGTTTATTGTTTCTTTTTGTCATGAGTTGCTATTTATGAATGTATGTACGAGCATATTAATACTCATTAAATATTTATCAATTATTCCCTTAAAATGTATTTATTCAAATTAAACCAATTTGTTGATGAACATCTGTTAAGTTATATACTTGCCTGAAAATATTTGAACTATTGTTGATATTATTTTTCGTTTGTTTAAATGCTTTTGATACTTTCTTTTTTATGATTTTGTTTTTATTGTTAAAAAATAGTTCGTAAGGTAAAGCTTGAAGTATTAATTTTGAGTGAGACTAAAAATGTGTTTGAGCGCCACACTACTAACCGTACTCCGGTCTATACCGAATAAGGCGCTTTAATGATTAAATTGTTAAAATGCCGCATTTTAAACCGCCGAAATTCACTTACAATGTCTATTGAATAAACAATGTAAAACTCGGTAAAAAGGGGATACTTTTACTTAGTTTTTACTACATATACGTGAATATACAAATACGTTATGAACAAACTCTGTTATCATCGGTAGTTACTTTGATTATCATAACAAATGTATTAACCTTAACCTTGAAAATGACCATACCCATGTTGCCAGTCCTGGGCTGACCAGTGTTCGGTACTTTTAGTCTAAAAATGCCATGTACTGTTATCCCCAAAATTTCATTTGTTTTTACCTTGAAATGGGATTTTACAAATTCAGTGCAGTACAGGTCCATAATATATGATTTCAATTTTGTATAGTAATTCGTATGTGAATGGCTACTACAATAGTCTATAGATATTAAATAATTTCCCTTTTGTGATAATCAGTCTTGTTTTATACAAAATTTTAATATTTAACCAGTAAAATTATTCCCTTTTAAAGGCATACAAGCGTACGAGTATTTCAACTGATTTGTCAACCGATAGTTTAAACAATTCTTTATTTATAATTCATACATTTACATAATAAAGTACATAAAATAAAATTTACGGATTGAGTAGGAAGCTAATTGTGACGCCTTTTTGAAACCTCTCTCCGTAATGGCCGATGCTTGCTTCCCATTTATTCAATTTTGATTAATAAATAAACTAAAATGGTGAAAAAATGAGGACATCATATATCATATTGTATGAATTATTTCTCACACAGCTCGAAAACATCATGCATGACTGCAGGTTTAAAATCACACACATGCATAAGCTAAGCTATACAGCAACAAATGACCTGCAAATACAATATAAAAGATTGTTATAATTTATTATCTGATAAAAAAACACATTTCTTAAGAAATTTTATTTAATACTCTCTTTGGTCTGATTTCAATATTTATTATTATTATATGATGTATATAATTCACCTATCAGATGAGAAATTAATTCTTCACAAAATAAATGTGCTTAACGCAACATTAAACCATTCTAAAATTTACTTTCACACCTTTTTTCATACAATATCCCAATAATAACAGTTTTTGATACCTTGTGAAATCAAATGCCATGCCTAAGAG